TGGTAGCCTCATGGTTCATTAGTGAATATTGACATGGTCATTCAGAACATGTAGTTGGGAAGCAGAATTGTGTAGTTAGTCCCAATAAATTCCAAAAGATGTTGGTAAATGTGTGATCGACAGCCTTTTGACTGTAGCATCCCATTTTACGTGTAAAGTCTTATAATAATGCTTTTGATATACCTTCCCTTGCAAAATAGACCGTCGGATCAAAATTAGGATACGTAATTTTTTAGATCAGACAACACCAAACATTTTCAACTTAAGCGTATGGTAATTTTTGAATTGAAAATATTGTGTGCGAAGGAATCACCATGCAGAGATTGGCTTTTCTTTGAACTTTTGTTATCATTTTAGATGTCTGGCTGTTGCTTCCAGCTTAATAATTTATTCTTCAGCATGTGGATTNTTTGTTATCATTTTAGATGTCTGGCTGTTGCTTCCAGCTTAATAATTTATTCTTCAGCATGTGGATTGACTTTCTATTGGCTTATCCTCTCGGAAAACGTTGATAACTGTACTAAACGGAGGTATCTAAGTTTCGGAAATTACCAACATTAGCTGCTTCCTCAATTAATTGTGAATGCTGCTCTGCTATTCCTGATGGAAGTTACGTAGTTATGTTCACTCTAATATGTATGCTGCGTTTGTTAGTTTTATGGGTTGTGATCCTCTTACAAGAAAACAACTATTTCTTTTTCACAGAATTGATTCCCACGCCCATTTCACATTATTAATCATATTCGTGCCAAATCTAGCAATTCACCATATTGTTGTAATTTTTTTTTACCAGTGTCTTAATGCAGTGTAGTTGTGATATTAGGCTCCTTTAGGTATTTTGCCAGTTATCCTGTGGTTGCAAATATTTGCCTACAGACAGACTTAGAATCATCCGTGAGATGCATTTCCCCAACTTGATTTCCAAGGGTTTCCCTTTAATGAAGCAAAACCTATGTCAGGATTTTGTAAAGATGATTGAGAATCTGTTCTTTTTATTAGATCTTCTCGAATTTTAAGCATATGCCAGAAAGAGGATTGCAAAACAGTTGGATTCCTATGACGGTATGTATGTAAGGCTGTGCTATGGGTGGGATGAAGTTGGTTTCTTCTAGACTGCTGGGCGATTGGTAATTTGTTTTGTTTCGGGAAATCTTGCCTCGTTCTCATTAGAATGCCTGTGAATTTTAATGCTAATGCCCCCTTGAAGTGTCTCCATGTTGCAAGGTTTTTCTTTGACCTCTTTCTCTTGCATTTGGATGTCAAGAGGTATAGTGGCCTGAAAGTTTGTGAAATTCTATGAATTATGGCCAGAGTCGAGTTTCGACCGAGTGTTTTTCTGTTGTCGAGAGCTTCTTGTTTTCGTCTTGTGCAATCACACGGAAGAAATAAAAGGGCCAGAAAAGAAGAGCGAACGCCTTAGTCGAAATTTAGTCGGGTGGCTGGTTTCTGGTTGGTGAGATGGACTTTTATAGGAATACTGCTGCTGAAGTGCAATTGTTTTGGCAAAGAGTTTCATCATGTACTTCAGTATTTGCTGTAAAATTATTGACTGATGATGGGCAATAAAGGAATTTTGTGTATATTAATATTGCCAGCATCATTTACCATTTCCTTTCGAATTTTTAAATGTAATTTGTGACGGCTTTTTGTTTCCAAATTTACACTTGCCAACCAAGGAGTTTTTGATAGGACTGAGCCAAACGACGCCGTGGGTTCTAAATGGGTCTTAATTGGCAATGTCCAGCTGTTATTGAAGTGGGTATATTAAAAGTCTGAAAAATTTACCTTGCCCAGCAGTAGAAACACAGTAAAAAAGAGAAGTTAGACCATCTCCAGTTCTTATGCAAATTCGTACCCTATTTTAGGTTAAAAAAAA